ACTTGGCAAGCATTGAATTTATGGTTTCTGAATGCGTAAACTTTAATTAACTTTAGCTGTCAGGTCAGCCAACTGATTAACATATATAAATGCCTATCAAATGTCTACAATCAAGCTATAAAAATGAAAATATCACTCGWGGCCCCCAGCTCGACGCTCAAAGTCAAAGTGGAGCAGCAGCAGCAGCACAGTCGAAGCTAATTGAAATGCATTGAAAGTGCGTGCGACCGGTACTAGCAACAAGTGGCAGCAACAACAAGTCGCCGCCGTTGCAGCAGCTGCGTGTGAAATGTCAGCAGCATTGGCCAGGGCGCGCGAAAAACATTAGCCATTGGCCACTGGCCAGCGTTGACATTTTCTTATAACTTAATTATTTTGCATAACTCATTGCATATGCAACACGGCAACGGCGACGGCGACGGCAATAGCGGCGACAACAGTTTCCACAGCAGCAGTGGGTGGTTGCATAATAAATGAAAATAAATATAAAATGTGACAGTTGCCAATCGGCGAACTTATTCATTGTGATGAATGCCTCTGACCTGATTTCGGCTGAAGTTACTTTTCATTATTATTATTATTATTATTTTCGTAGTCGTTGTTGTTATCAATTGCATCGCCGCATTTATCACGCTCGAAATATAATTACTGTTGCATTTTGTTGCACGTAGCCAGTGTGTACACACCTTTCGATGACGCGACTCAACGAGTGCAATTTGTCTTTGCCTCCGGGCGCCACATGCAATTTTTCATTCGCTTTGCGTAGGCAGCCCAAGTTCAAAGAGCCAACYCTGATTGGTCAGCAATTACACTCACATAYCCACAYATACACAAAAGCACACACGCACGTGTAATACGCTAGAAATCTAAAAATARAGAAGYCATGAAACCAGCGTCGAGCCACTGACAATGGCCGCCAGTCGCACAGAATGCGATTGGTTCCTGCGCACCAGCATGAGCATAGTCAGGATGGCCGAGTGGTCTAAGGCGCTGCGTTCAGGTCGCAGTCTACTCTGTAGGCGTGGGTTCGAATCCCACTTCTGACAAGAATTCTTTTTCTCATATTTTTAATTTTATTCATTTAAAAAAAGTATATTCAAAGTAGTTTATCATTTGTATCTAAGTGCCGTGTACTCTGTGTACAATGTGCAGCACTTGTTTCAATTGGACTCATAAGAGGCCATTAAAAATTACAAGTAAATCAATTTATGTGCGCTTAATTGTCAATATTCTAATCACATAATCAGCGGGCTGTGGCAAACGTTTTGCCTTCGAGCAGTACTCGTTGGATGACTGACTGACTGGCTAACAGTTAAAAGACCACACACACTCAAAGCCAGRCAGGCAGCCAGCCAGCTAGCTGATGATTATTATCATCGTCTGGCATCGCCGCGAGACGCCGTCAATGGCAAACACTTTCAAGTCGGCAACACATCATTCATTCAATCAAACTAGAGAAACGCTGACTGAACTGAAATGCAGTTCATGCCATTTTTTGTAGATTTGTTATTTGCTTGTATGTTTCTGACAATTGTTTCTCGTGTATAATGGGTTAGGCAATGGGATGGCTGAAAAAACGACTTAAAGCCCTATTTGTAATTATGATCGTAAAATGCAATCAGCCGCTTAGAACTGCGAATTAGTCGGCGCAAATTCCAACATGTTTTTTAATAGCACAATTTACGACTATATTATCTGGCATCCATAAAAAAAAGCCCCGCCAACTATTAAAGTTGTTTAACGGTCCACAAGGCGCGAAGCATTGAGGCTGGTCATAAAGAGGCTGCCGAACAATTGACAAGCCGCAAAAATTGTTTACACAATTTTAATTGACAACTTTGTGGAGAGGGAAAAACTGAATATGAATGATGGCCCAAGCCGACGCGCTTATCTGCCATTTTTCAAGAGTTTTTCTATATATTTATTTATAATTACTGCTCAGTGAACAGCTATTGAAATTTATGGTCAATTGATTGGCTTTTGAATGGCGTAGAAGCGTGCTTCCAGCAAATTATTATTAATGCACAAAAATTGATTGGGCCAAAGCTGCATCTAACACCTGTCGTTTAACGAATGTTGTTTATGAAAAGCTTTTAGTACTTTTAATTAACATTTTCGGAATGCTCACTGTAATTTATGGCCGTCCATTATGATAAGATAAATTAATATTGAAATGTAAAGTTGAATTTGTATTTAACATATAAATTATCTCTTATACCACACTCAAATCATGTAGCTTTTTGRAAGCTCTGGGAGCCTTATTCACATTTCGTTGATGAAGCTTYTGAATATAATACRCGTTTTCGATCTCGTACCACAATTTGAAAGCTTTCACCTTGTAGGCTACCCTCTAAATATATATCGCTCTCAGAGCTAAAAGAAAGCTTTCCTCTCAACTGAGCGACAATGGAAACCAAGCTTACGAAAAGAAAGAAAAAAGAACAACAAGCCGTGAGCTTTGAAAGAGCAACAAAAGCGCTGCCCGATAGCTTTTAATACGTTTTACATTATACTTGAAGTGACGCAGGCGAAACTTTTGGCAGTCTTTGAGATACCATGACGTAGCTTGGACAGAACGCAATCACAATCAAGCGGAGCTACCTGAGAGCCATACCTTTATTGTGGCTGCACAAGTCAACGCCTTACATTCGTAAAGCTTTTGTGAAGAATTCAACAAAACGAGCCATAAAGAGATCTAGCTCTAATCGTGTCAGGCAAAAGCACGCCACACACACACACGCACACAGTCACAACGCACACTGTGGCGTGCAGGAAGGTTATTCAACTCAACAGGTACGTGTAGAGAGATTACCAAAATATCACTAACTCTCTAGTTATGGAGCATAAGTTAGACAACAACAATAGCAACTCTACAAATACTGCAACATCAGCAACAATTGGAGGAAGGCAGCAGCTGCCAACTTTCAACGGCGTAAGCGCTGTTCTAGCACACAAAAAGCTTTTTTAAATTACAATAAAAACAAGATGAAACTGCAGCGGCATATTATTGTTGCTGAAAGCTGCACCAGAGAGCGCTAAAAGCTTTAACTTTTATTTGTGTGCGAGTATGTGTTGTGTTTCTTTATTGCTCTCTGCTTATTAAGCTTGAGTATTATGCTCAAGATAAGTAAATATGTTTAGTCAATTAGTACACACATTATAATCGCTGTCATTAAATTATGAATTTCTTTTAGATTTCACCACACACCATGAGCAGTCTACGCATTTGCAAAGCCATGTCGCTGCATCCCAGCGCAAATCTCTCGAATAATCATATCAATTCTAGGATATGCCTAATGCCAGGTTGCAAGGCCAGCCCTTCGGAGCTACGTCGCTTTCCAGTACACGACATAGATCGGTAAGTAATTACTTGAAGCTCTACTTTATTTATGACCTTTTGCCGATCTACATTTGTTTGTATGTACAATAAAACCAGTTTATAGAGTTGTAGTTGTTGATTGCACCGAAGCTTGATGCGCATCACAAATTCTCTTCTGCATACACATGTATGTACTTACGTACATATATACAAACATGTAAATTTGTATGTACATATGTGTGTATGTCAGGAATGCATACAAATAATATTCCCGGCAAGCTTAGCAAAATGAGAGTGAGCTTTTGCATTGGCATCGCTCCTCCCGCCAAGTCAAAGGTTGTTGAACTTTCGGCGGCCGCATCAGCTTCATAGAAATAATTTCAATGCCATGACAAAAACAAAACACAACAACAACAAGTACACGCCATGCATTTGTATTGCAATTATGCACATTGTGGGTGTGAGGGAAACAACGAAAGAAGCATAAGAAGCTGCGTCCCACACTCACACTTAGAGTTGGAAGCAGGCAAACGCATAGAAATATTCCCCATCGGTTTATTTTTAGCTCTCTCGTTCTCTCGCTCTCTTGCTCTCTTGTAATGCGTACAAAACGCGCTCTGTTGGCCGTGAAGTTTGTGCTGCAAAAACAGTTCTGTGCACTGAAGTTATTGCCATCAACATGGCGCTTAGAGTGGACACAAAATGTGGGATTAAATTGAACATTGAAAAGAAGTAAAAAGTAGAATATAAATAAAGTAGATAAATTTCAAAAATTAATGAGTTCTCATACCTTTAAAACTCGAATAGCAATAATTAAAATAGACATACATATCTCTTAATTGATACAATTGAGGTAAAACGAGGCCCACCCCAAATCGGCTCAGCTGTGTCTGGACCTATCCATAACGCAAATAAACAGCAACAATTCTTGTTATTGTTGCAATGGTTGAGGGAGAGCGGGCGTCGGCAAGTGGATGCAGCAGTTGAACGCCGGCACAAGACGCGCAACAAACTTCCGCTCTTTGACGAAGAAGAGAGCGAGAGCGAGAGCGGCGAAAGCACTACACATGCAAAAACGTGCACACACGAACCCGCACATACACACAGCGACACAAAGAGTACAGTGCAATGAGCATAAAAGCGCTTTTTCAGCTACAACTTTTAGTGGCCATGGCAGAACTTTTCACCAGTTTGTGCAAACTTCACGGGTGTGTGCGTGCGAGAGAGCGAGATGGGATCTAATTTTAAAGCTGCACAGGAAAAGCACTGCCAAAAGAACGAAACTTCAATGCAGTTCTTTACAGTAAACAAAGAACTTCCGAGGCGATCGCAACGCTGAGCAGCGCTCGAGTGTAGTTAGAGTTTGGGTAAATTCCATATAAGAAAAGTTTGCCATCAGCGAAGAGAGTTAATAAAACGTATGTTGTGTTGTGCTGTGTTGCGTTGCTTATTTGCTGTTCGATACGAAAGCTTTCTCTGTAAAGAACTGTGCACAATTGGTGTATAAATTGCGTTGTTGACCCAAGCTAAGCTTGCAGTGCGGCTGACAAGAGAATCGTGCTGCACAACCAATACACACACGCATACACTGTGCATATAAGTATATGTAATGCTTGCACTTGTATCTACTGCACAACTGAACAGTCAACAATTGTAATTCCTGCAGCTGCAACTATTGGCTGCGCCAATTCGGATTGAACGACCAACTGGTGCAGGAACTTGGCGGCGTGAAAAGGCTGCGCATCTGCCTGTGGCATTTTAGCCAGCGCAACGCAATGGCTAAGACGCGCATCAAGACGACGCCACTGCGCTTAAACAAGCCAAACAAAATAACCACCACAACAGGAGCAACAACAGCAACAACAGAAGCAGCAGTAGCGACATCTGCCAAACCGATGGCAGACAGCACAACAACAATTGAGCTTGTCGATGTGAGTAGCACAAATGCAACAAATTTCAATTTAAATTCCCATCTCTTATGTTGTTTGTTTTGATCTTTAGAGCTCCAGTGGGAATTCAYTGAAGCAGTCCATGCAGGAGAAGTCGGTGACTACAATAACACCTGTGCCGCAACGCTCCCACTCGATATGCTCCTCCTCGTCCATCTCCAGCGATGTGCAGTCCATYAGCTCGGACTACGAGGCCAGCATGCCGTTGTCCGCTCTGGTGGATGCACATGCTCAGAATGGTAATGGGCTGGCGAAGAAGCGCAAACTGTATTTGATAACTGAAAAGTCGGATGAGAAGAATGGAAATACGTTGCCCAATGGCCAGAAGAGGAAAATGTTTGTGGTTGTGGAACAGGAGAAGGATACGGCTGCTAAAAAGCTGATGATCGTCACAGACAAGCCGCAGGCAAATCTCACACAGCATCTGGAGAAGTTTCTGCCAGAGATACTAAGCTGCATCCAGGGCAAGGAACAGGCGCAGGCGCAGGTCAAGTTGCCGACGATCAAGCATCAGGTGACAATCAAGCAGGAGTCACTGCCCACGAAGCCAGCTCCTATTGTGAATAAGCCGCACATAACGCTGCCGCCCAAGAAGAATCCCACCAACTTTGTCAAATTGGAGGGCTCACCTGGCATTAATCTACCGGCCAGCATGTCCATTATGCCCGTGGAGCCGGTCAAAGAGTCGCCGCCAGTACCAGAGACTGAGACCAACATTAATCTGTCGCCCGACTTTCGGTTTCTCATGAAGATTCTACCCAAGCTGGAGCAGCTGCCCGAGCCGCACAAACAGCACGTCAAGCGCTCTATACAGATCTTTGTGGAGGAGAGCTACAGCCACTATGGCAAGAAGGAGTAGCAACACCTAGTTATATAAATTATCATTTTAATTAGGTATTTCGTTTAAGGTTCCA